TCATCTCCACTGAGTACAGTCAACCCTCAGTCAGATTTCACACTTCGGAGGGTCACTGACCGTCAAGTGTTGTCCAGGGGTTACGGATGGGGAGAAATGACCATCGATTACTGAGTTCGCTGATCGAAGCCAGGCTGAGGGATTGAATAAACAAGGTACGTTACGGAAGTTGGTACGAGTTTTATGCACCAGTCACTATTATTAATGGAGGGATGTTATGATTGAGTGTTACCAGGGGAACTGAAGGAGCGAGGCCAAGTAACAGCTAAGTATGCATGAGTGTCGTCTTCAGGGATTGATGGAGTCGTTAATTAGTGGCCATGACTGAGCATTTTCATTAAAGTATTAATAAATGTTCCTACAATCGCTAAAATGTTGAAGAGGAAACGGTGAGTTGCAGTTGGCAACATCAGTAACATATGAGACGAGGATGAGATCCGTTGGGCTGGCTTTGACCTTATATAGATCTCCTCTCGTGTGTAGGTGCTGATTATTATTCCCTCATTTTGCACCTTGCCAAGTGCTCTTCTCCTTCTTGCTATGCTAGAGAGATTCAACGACCTCGACGGAGAACTCGTCTTATGGTTTTTTGGCCACAAAGTCTCGGTGTAAACCCCTCCTGACTATCGGACCGAATTGGATGTGCTCTATGACAACCTCTCTTCTTGGTGTTTACTCCTTTGTGTCTTTGTTCGATGAACAAACGGAGAGAGATGCTAAGGAAAGTTGCTTACCTGTTGGCCAAGTACTTGCTTGACGGAGACTAGCCACTCTTTCACCGGGGTCTGTTGTTGATCAGGTCGTGCCCCTGGTTACTCTATATGAGTAAAGGACAACAGGTAAGTGATTGAAAAATGTATTCCTTCGCAGATCAAAGAGATGTGCGAAAGTGATATGCGTAATGCGTGATATCTTTGGGTGATTTTGAGTGAGTAGCGTTATAACACTCTTGCAAAAGTCAGACTTCACGTTATGCGTCTGAGGAAGTAGTGCCAATGACAAGTCAAGTTTCATACAGACAAAGTTACTCCCAATAGTACCCTTGCAATCTGTTGTGTTCACGACAGTAGGTTGCCACTACCTGCCTTACTCGCAGAATAAGAATGTGGTCAAAATACACAAGTTAAGGCCACGTCCTCAGTCTAGTGGGACTCCGTGACTGGGATCATGTCAGATTATTCAGTCGTGAGGCAACCCAGCCCTCTGATTGGAACAACGCCTGATTGTCCCGTCGCTCGATAACCACTACGCTGGGACCGACAAGAGAAGCTCATCCCACACTACTCAGTCAACATTGTACTCAACATTCCTCGGACCCAAGACCTATATGATCTGGGCCATCTATCTGCTCAAGAGCTACTGAGCGATAAGTTGTGACCAGTGCAGTTTCAAGCTTAGAGCACGATGAACAACATTTGTGAGATATCTGTGTTGAGTTTGTCTGATGGTCGTGAGTTACCCGATATTGTCTGCACAGACCAGTCTACCTGCAGGAGTGAGTAAAAGATCAGTGTTAGTTCGAGTTCTAAATATCAGTTAGTTGAGGATCGCTACTGAGAAAATTTTGTGCGTATTGGCTGGGCGGGATTTCATTATTGACGAAGGGGTTTAAGTGTCATCAAAACGGGACTCACTAGCTAAGAGACGCCGCAACCTGGTGCTAACCTGTGAATCATTGGGACCTAGAATGTTGCGTCACTTCTTAGTACATGAGTGGAGGACCTGTCAAGCCACTGTGTTGGATGAATAGAAGCCCCCATTCTGAGATCCCGCGCACTTTTGAATGAGTTGCCGTGCGCTAAGAGCAAGTATCTAGGGGACCTATCAGCACGGAGCGCCGAGCGTGGAACTGTACATGTAACTCCAACTCCGGCTGGCTCAAGGCACATAACCGCAGAGGAAACAACAATGAATAGCTGCCAGTTGAGGGACTCTGGTAATACGACTGATATCCTGAACTCTACAACATTTCAGTCTTGACCCTGGCACCCCATCTGACAGACCCTGAAAATTATCAGTTGGCCTAGCACTTGCAGGGACTATGAGGGACGGCGAGATTCGAGTGGTGAAGCATACACTAGTCAGAAGCAAGGGAGAGGGATGGGAAGAAGAAGCATGCAGAGACATGGAATTTCACAAACCAACTCAAAGAGAATATGCGGTTAGAATGGCAGGGGAAAAGAAATTCATTGAATAGTATGAATACGTATTTTATTTTCATGACCAGGACGACAAACTGCATAGCTTCGGCTCTTCATTGGAAACAGTAGAACAGGCCAGGGCAAAGCTCGCGTGAGCTCCGTAGTGCCTGAGCTACCTTCTCCGAAACTCCACCAGTACTTGAACCAGCAGTCATTCTTCAACAGTTTGCAGTTTTCCTTGTAGTACGATGCCATGTGATCAACGACTCGGTGACTCAATTTTCCAGTGTTCATTCAGCATTTGGTCTACTTTCTACTAGCATTCGGGAAGCACTCAGGCAAACTTTCAATTAAAGTTTAATCAGCATCTTTCAGTTCCAACCACTCGAGAAATACCGTCAAAAACGATCAAGTACAAGGTTAATTTCTTACTCCACGCCAGTGATCGGTTCAGGCGTTTGTCACAACACATGAGTACAGTTTGAACCTTTTCAGTTGCAGGGTCGGTCTTGGCCAACCTCAATCAGATAGCCCTCAAGGATGCTTTCAAGTATCGGTATGTCAGTGCAACTGGCTTCAAGCAAGATGAACTATCTATTTTCGTAGTTCACTCTGAGTTCGCTGAGGGAACCATTCATGACCTGAGACCCTATGTAAAGAAAGGGAAAGAGACCCATGAGCACTTCGATTCGGTCTGGATCGTAGCGGTCAGGTACCTTGAAGAGAAAGAGAAAGAGCTAGACGAGAATGGAACAAAGCTGATTCGTAGCTTCGGACCCAAGCTCTATTCTGACTATCCCAGACCTCCAGTTCCCTTTCTTCTCACAGACGGTTCTTGTTGGGGAGACCTGCTAGATCTAGCCAAGAGGTACATTTCTCCTGCAGTGATCGACTACGAGGTAGTCACCAAACCGTCAGATTTCCAGCATCTCAGACGAGGGATCTTTTCTCAGTCTTATCTCCCTACTCTATGGGAGGAGTTATGTGCCATGGTTGACTTCCGCATCATGGGACTTGGATGGAAGTGTTCAGAGCTAGATGGATTCAAATGGCTCTATATCCAGAGACCACAAGCTCAGGGAGTACAAAGACTTGGCCGGAAGCACAAAAAACATGCAACAAAATGAGAGATTGAGTGTAAGGATTCGGAGGGATGAGTGAGGACTCTTGACTAGTGCTGGCCATGCTCTCTACATGTGTACTTTCTGAGACTATTATGAGTTCTCATTCTTCCCTCACTTAATTTGCCTTTGCTCGGGTCAGCCAGTCTTGGTTCTTGCATTGCCTTGTTCGATGATTGCATTCTTTGATGATTCTGTTGCAGTTCTCAATATTAGAAAATTGGCAAATTGATGCATGCATGACACATCAGAATTTACGATTATTATTTGCATAATTCTTTGCTATTCCGAATCAAAATAAAAGATTTCTAAGACCGGGGACCGACGAAGACCGTAATTGAAGGGTCTTGCTCGAAGCCGAACGCACACAACAGGAAGGGATTTTCTTTAATCAATTTAATTAATTTATTTTATTTATTGCAAATATCAACTCCAAAATCCTGCATAACAGCCTGTTGGCTTTTCGGTCACCCGAAGTGGTCCGACTGGGAAAAAGTGCGACACCAGCCGCGTAGGCCGGTGCCCAGACCAGTGATAGGCCGGTGTAGTAGACTAGGAATAGGACAAGGCGTAGGCGTAGGCTAGCTAAGTAGGAGGAAGTAGGAGATAATGTAGGAGGATTCATTCATTGGTGGAACACATAAAGAATAGGTTTCATCTTAAGCTAAACTGTCTGAGGCTGCCGGGATAACTCCGGGTTGAATTGTGAGGACCTTGGCCTCGACTTATCTCTTTTTGCAATATATAAACGAACTGTGATTAAAAAAAAAAAAAAAAAAAAAAAAGTGTCAGCTCAGCGCACGGCCTCGGGCTTTGAACCGTTATAGGGGCAAATAGAGACATTGGCAGGTACCGGTAGGAGCATTTATGACTTTTATCAAGGGCAGCCAAAAATGCAGGGACATATGCACAATTTTCACAGCGGCCGGTAGGGGTATATGCAAGAGATGGCGGGTCCAATTAAGTTTCATGACTGTCCTAGCGGCATTTCGCATTATCCCTGTGCTTTAGGGGTATCTGACAAAATACCCCAACTTTCAGGGGCATTTCAACAATATTGCCTTCTTGCTTTTATGGAGTTAGAGCCCGCCACGCAGCCCTTTTATTTATTTCTTTTAAATATTTCTCAACTTATGCGTGTCATCCTTGCGCAGGAGTCGGGACCCACTAACATCAATTTACGCTTCGGCAGTTTGGTTTTCAACCACGTGCGACGAGAGGTGACATCCGGCGACCGTTGATCCTTTTGTGTATCTTCGGCACAGGGCGATAAGGACCAATTTCGTAGAGGTATCTGTACGCCGGCCAATAGAAAAGTTTTGTTTTCATTTTTTGCCCATTTGGCTAGCCACTTTGCATTGGCACGAAGTTGCAATACTCTGGTTTCTCAAGGGGGAGGGCGTTTCTACAGCTTCGTTGTTTTCTTTTTTTATGTGCGGAAATAGAGAATACGTGCCTTGCCCAATAAATTACTGAATCGAGGCATCCTAACGCAACGTCGCAGACGGTGTCAGTGTCGTAACCTTATGTCTTGCAACCGTGGGTGTATGTGTCCACAATAAGGTCGTGGTAAATTCACGCGTGTTGGAATGTAGTCTCCTTTGTGGGACTCATGTGTCCTCCTTTTTTTTTTAGGTCGACCACACAGTCTGTGTGGGAGTTTCCAAACGAGGAAAGTCCCCATGTGGAAACGCATGGCATATCCTAAAGCAAAGGGCATTGGTGCGGCACGCGAATATGGCGTGGGTTAAACATCCAGAAATTGAATGATCGTAGCCGCCAGGTACGGAAAGATACAGATTGTGGCGAGGCTTTTCGTAGGGAGGCAGGTGCTCGTGTTGTACCGACACACATGAACAGTGAGGCCCTCAGCCTCTCGCCCTATCCAGCACGACATGCAAAACTGGCGTCTTGTGCACATCGGGATATGTTGTCTCGTGAAAGTCCGTTTCTCTCCATCTCGCGCCTCTGCAGTTTGTCGTCTTGCACCATTAACTTACTGAACGCGGAAGACGACGAACAGCCCTCCATGAGCCAGTACTCACAGCATGCAGGCTTGTCTTCTATCGAAGACTGGGGGTACTCGGAGACCCAGAATGAGGCCCCACCTGCTGCATGTATCGGTTCGTCATCACAGGTGGTGGGACAGCAACAGCAGTGTTTCACACATGATGGCTGTCAGTCCCAATGTCCCATTGGAGACAACGTCGGGACAAATGTCGGAGTACCGAAGGGAGATGTGCAGCGGCCCCACACGAGCTCTACGTTCCTGTTCGGGGGTCCAGCATGGAGTGGGGGGCCCGTCCGTAGCCCGGACAATGCACATGTCATTGGTCCTATGACCGATGTCCCACGTGCATCTGTTGTCACAGGTCACAGACAGTTGTCATCTCCAGTTTCGCCCGTCGGGGGGTTCCAAATCGGCTTACGCGAAGAGGATGAGGTTACCCTTCGGCAGCACCTGCGAATGCGTGCGATGGCCATGTCAGATGGCCTTTCTCTGTCACCGGACGAACGTGACATCAATGGTATTATGACATCTCCTGCTCGTAACGGCGGAAGCCGCCATGGCAGTCCCGGTCCCTCCACAGTCAGTTCTGTGGATAATGACACGATGGGGTGTCGTTCGTCACACCTCCCTGCAGCACTCTCGGCGATTCCCCACGCGAGTTTCCCACTGTCACCTGACCCATTCCGTCGTGATGGTTCACCGCAGCCGCATAGACCACGAACCGGGTCACTGGAGTACGTCATCAACCGCATCATTCGGGCCAATGAAGCCGGTGTCCCACCGGTGGACTGCCCAACCAACACGACGCTCGGAGGCGAGGCGGTTGTAGATCCGACAGCCCCGTGGCGCACCCCTCCCCCACGTGTACCGTTTGAAGGTCTGAACAGTCCGTCTCCGGTCACTGCGCAGTCCACCTCGCAGCACACTCCATGCAATGTGGAGAACTTGGCAGGCACGTCCACGACACGACCATCCGAAGGCCCCCCAACACGACCACCGTCAACGGAGAAGAATACGGATCGGTGGGGGTAGACCGAGACTGAGTGGTTGTGCCGGTTCAGGAACGAAGTGAAGAGTCTTATGGGGGAAGAGACGGAGCCGTTGGGTCGCGCGAGGCTGAAAGCAGGTTTCTGGAAGGATGTGGAGCAGCGCATGAAGGGAAAGGGCTTCAACCGTAACGCTCATCAGTGCAAGAACAAGTTCAATACACTCCTTGACTACTACAGAAGATTGAAGGTGCACGAAGGCTGGTCTGGTTTGCCGAGTTACTGGGACATGAACCAAACAAGGCGGAAGAAGTACAACATCGACTTCGTTCTTCGTCGGGCTTGGTATGACATCATACACCCAGTGGGGAAAGACAAGGACTCCATTTATCTGACGAATTTGATGGACTCAGGGGCGGACGAGGAGCGTCTTGAAGACAGCGAGAGGTGCAACGATATTGATGGTGAGACGGAGGGAGGAAGTGAAGACCCGGCGGTCGGGTCAGCCAGTTCACTGGGGCTTGGGAGTTCACAGGGTGGGCGGCGTTCAACGGGCTTCGATCCGATGCTCAGTAAACGAAGGAGAACTGCCATAAATGCACGCGAGTTGAGTATGCAGACTGTGACAAGTGCTACGTGTGATCACACCGCCGCTCTCACATGTTCTGACAGGGAGTGCATGAAGATATGTTGCGAAGCGACACGTGACATCGCAAGGCACCAGGCTGAGGCTCATCGGGAACTTATGCAGCAGGACATTCCGTCACGTGAGAGGATAGCTACTATAACTGGGGACGGGGTGGAGAAGGGTTATCTCGTTCTTGCAGATGCCATCCGAAGTTTGCGTCCTCGTAGGAACAGTCCATCTTCTCGGCCAGATAGCAGCGATTCGCGGTAGTTGTAGTTGTGCACGGTGTGGAAGTTCGTTTTGTCTCATAGGTGTTCTCAAATTTCAATTTTTTTTGGTCGTCTCCTACTTTAATCGCTGCCTCGTAGAGTTCTGTAACAGCACTTCAAGCTTTATCAGCGATGCTAGTGTGTTGATGTGCGTTATCAGCTATCCGATGCTAGCACGCCTCGATCCGATGCTAGTGTGACAGCAGTTCAAGCTTATTGGTCGTGTTCTACTTTAATCACTGCCTCGATCCGATGGTAGTGTGTTGATGTACATTATCAGCGATGCAAACATGTCATCTGCCTTTCAAACGACTTGTAACAATTTGCTCATTGTATTTAGTGATGGTCTGACGTTACTCTCTCTCTCTCTCTCTCTCTCTCTCTCTCTCTCTCTCTCTCTCTCTCTCTCTCTCTCTCTCTCTCTCTAACGGGTTCTAAAACTTTGGTCTTTGTATTTAGTGATGGTCTGA